CTCGTACCTTCGATGCATTTCGGGCTTTGGGCTATTTTGGGCATTGGGCTGCACAAAGTGTGACGCCTCACACGCCTCACCGCACTTCTGCCGCTAATCCCACCAGATCCAACTTAAAGTGCTTCGCTCCAAGGTGCTCCTTGTTCCACTCGTCGAAAGCCTTCTCGGCCTCCTTCACAGTCTCGTAGACACCAAGGAGGTACTTGTTGCCGAAGGAGTCGATGGCCTCGGACTTGTAGAGCTTCTCCGCAGTACCCCAGCTGTGCTTGAACCTGACACGCATAGCTTGCAAAGCAAAGTCGGCCAAGCGCATGCTGCCCCAGCCCGACCCGTCACTAGGCACGACATGCTGCAGAATACGCAGTCTACCAAGGCTGGCGCTCGCCATCGAGTTTGGCAGGGATCTTGGCCAGGTCGGCCAGCATCTCCTCGTCCAAAGGCGGCAGCGGAGTGTCCGAAAACTTCGGCATCACCTTGAAGATCTCCTTGACGATGTCCGCCTGACCGCAGACACGAGCGACGCAAAGCGTCTACAGCAGAGGCACGCGCAGCTGCCTTCATACTGCACAAATCTGCTCATATCTGCTCTACAACTTAAAGAGCCTTCGTCTTGCCGGGCGCGTCCTTCTGGGAGCGGAAGAAGGCCTTGAGATTCTGGACCTTCTTCTCGTTGGCCTCGCGGGCCTCATAGTAAGGCTTGATGACCTCGGCAGCGGTCTTCAGGAGCTCCTCCGGCGCCGTTCGGGTCTTGAACTCCTTGGTCTCGGCCTCGGAGTGGTTCGCGGCGAAGTCCTCGATCTCCTGCGTGACACAGATTGCAAGCAGACATGAGCGCTCATGGATGGATGACGACAACATCTATAGGCTTGCCACCGGGGCAGCTGGCTAAGCCGGAAAAGGAAAGCGGTGGAAAGCAAGCAGAAGGGTCCCTCTGCAAGGAGCCCATCTTCTTGGCCAAGCGCTCGTGCAGAACGCGAGGGAAGCGCACCTTGAAGTCGTCCGAGGGCGGGTTCTCTTTAAGAACCTTCTCGATGTCTTTCTTCAGGCCGGCCGGGGCGCTGGAAGCGCTGTTGGCCTCGGCGAGGAACTTGTGGACGGTCTCTGCGGTCTCCTTGGAGAACTTGTACAAATCCTCGAAAGGGGCGCTGTCCGAGGGGGTCTTACCCTCGGCCTCTTCCGCGCGAGCCGTCATCGATGCGTACATCCAGCGGCGGTCGGCGTCACGATCGATCTCCACGATGCGTCGCTTCAGGCCGAAGTCGTAGGAGACCAGCGCCGCCTTGTTCTTCAGCGCATCGTAGTCGGGCGTCCTCTGGTCGGCGTCCTGCAGTCAGTGCAAGCATGTGTGCCGAGCAATGTAGTACTTGAATCACGACGCCACTTGCGCACAAGACGCACGTCATTTTTCTGGCAGGTCTGATAGTTGCTCGAAAGGCATCTGTGCAAATTACCGACCATCCCGCTGTCCTTCTTGTAATCATCCTTTTCCTCAGCAGCGGCACGAACTTTCGTGCCCACTGCAACCCGCACACTGTTGCAACGACTGACAACATCTGACAAGCCAGCATGCCCCGGAAAGTTCGAGATATCACGAACTACAAAGGAGCTGCACGTACACCGAGCTGCGTTGTCGAAGAACTTCTTGAGGACCTTAGCAAAGGACTGGATCTTCTCCTCAGGGAGGTCCTGGCTGAACTCGTCGCTCTTGCGGAACTTCTTGTCGAACTCGTTCTGGGCCTGCTTCAGGATCAGGGCCTGCTCATCCTTGCTCAGGGAATCCTTCCACGCGTAGAAGTCATCCTTGAACCCTCGCATGGCAGTTCGGCTCTGGCGAGAAGATCCCGCTGGAGAAGTGCCGGTCAGGAAGGACGTCCTGAGCTTCAGCTTAAATCTGGGAAGCAAAAATTAGAAAGCTGTCAACTTCATCGTGGGCCATTTTGCGATTTAACGGTGTTGCCAAAAGCTCTTTGTCCTTTGCGGCGCCAAGGCTCTGCTGTGAACCGAAGAGCGAGATCAGGAGCCATGATGAAGCGGCGAGCAGCACGGTTGGCAAAAGCCGGGACTGGGTCATCCCTGGGATCAGCGCATTGTTTGTGTCAAGTTCAAGGTTCCCACTTTCTGGCCTACCGATTCGGGCTTCGACGATCATTGAGCCACTCTAGCAGCTGTCCCTGCACCGTAACGATTGACATACAGATAACATCATTTAAACCCACCGACTGTGAGCACATCTGCTGGAGGTGTGGAACTGGATAGGCTCGATCTGCGTCAGCTTCAGCCAGACAACCCTTATGCCTTATATGTCCCGTGCAATACCTCCTGAATGCACGTCCCACTGCCTGCGCGGAATTCCCATGAATTCCCGGAGACGTAAGAATCAAAGCGAGCGTTTACGCATGCCTCCGCCTTCCGCGGATGGCTTGACTTTACTCGTCTTCGAAAAGCCAAGGCGCTGAACCAAGGGACCGTGCAACTTCCAGGGCAAGATCCTGCTGGGCACTTGGGCCAAAATCTTGCCGCGGCACGGAGCAGCGTCCCACAAGCAAGAACTGCAGCGGTTCAGGCAGGGGGGTTGTGGTTTAGTTGTAGATACCGAGAACCGAAATCGGCATACGAGAGCTGCAACATCAAACTTCACTACGCCACGATCGTATACATGTAAACACAGACTTGAAGCTATCAGCGCCTTGAGCTGAGTCGTTTCAGTACTGTGGCATCGAGGCCCCTAGCGGTCCTAGCACCTACCAGCTGAATCTCATCAGAGGCTTTTGGGGCTGCGTTGATCTCTGCATCCACAAATCGTGATAAGGGCTGGGAGTTCCCAAAGTCTAGGCACCGAGAGGTTCATGCTCTCTTGCAGAAACCTTAGGTTCATAGCGAGCTCTAGGTTCCAACTGAGCAGTGCAAGATGAGACCAGCATCGATTTTGTTTCTCTGATGCGTGGCCCTTGCAGGTCAAAAACTGGCGAATGCGCTCGAGCGCTGGCATAGAAGAACTGGCGATGCGTGCACTGCCGAAGCTTGCAGCGCATGCAGCAGTAAAGGCTACCATCAGAATCACTGCCTATCTCAAGTTTAATATCATCAACAACTGCTGCTTCTGCAGATCCCATCAGCATATTATAAGTGCGATTTCTGCCATTATGAGAATGAAGCTTGATTCCATCATGACGTAATCACAACACATCACGGTGCAGTCTTCCCTTGAAGATGCCTAAAAGATCGGTTAACCGATTCTTCCCTGCGTCGATCTTCGAAGCAAATTATGGCGAGCATCTCCAAGGCGGCCAATCTTAAGCAAGCGAAGTTGCGCTTGATGTTCCGTTGTCTTGTCTTGTTTCGTAGTCGCAATTAATTTGGTGTGCTGCAGTAGTCACTGTCCGTTTGCTGGTTGAGCCCGAAACGTTGCAGCCCTGAAATTTCAGCTAGAGAACCACACAATCCTGCTTTGTTTGCTATCTGCATGTTTCTCGCAGCTGGGCTGTCTACAGCCAGTAAACACAGTACCCGGCGCTAAAGGCAAAAATAGAACACGCGAGCTAAACGGCATAGGCATAGCCCGAACTGCCCCATTTCGAGTGCTAGAGCTAGTGCTGCTGTTAGCGCTAGTGCTCGTGCCAGTGCTACAACAACATTCACCACTACGACGACTACCGCTACCACTACCACTACCGCTACCGCTACCGCTACCGCGACCACCACCGCCACCACGACCACGACCACGACCACTACTACTACTACTGCTACTACTCCTGATGCTGCTGCTGCTGCTACTACGACTACAACTACGACTACGACTCCAACTGCGACTGCGACAGCGACTACGACGACAACAACAACAACAACAACTACTACTACTACTACTACTACTGCTGCTGCTGCTGCTGCTACTACTGCTGATACTACTACTACTACTACTACTACTACTACTACTACTACTACTACTACTACTACTACTACTACTACTTCTACTACTACGACTACTACTACGACGACTCCTACTACTTACTCCTGCTCCTGCTCCTGCTCCTGCTCCTGCTCCTCGTACTCCTACTCCTCCTCCTCCTCCTCCTCCTCCTCCTCCTCCTCCTCCTCTTCCTTCTCCTACTCCTCCTCCTACCCTTCCTACTCCTCCTACTCTGACTACCACGACTACGACTAGCAGTACGAATACGATACTACACGGCGACTACGACAACGACGACGACTACGACGACTACTACTACTGCTGCTACTACTACTACTACTGCTGCCACTACGATGACGACAACTACTCCTACTGCTACAAGAATACGCTCCTGCACATGCTCCTCCTAGCCCAACTCCTCTTCCTCCATCCTCCTCGTCTGCTGCATTATATTACATAGCCATTTAGTCATTTTTCTCATGGCCGCCATGGGCCTTGCCGGTAGGCTTCTCGAGCTCAGCGGCGCGCCTCCTCGAGTGCCTTGCGCAGGCGGTCCACTTCGTCCTGGCAGGCGAATGCCACGCCAAATCTGCAGCATTTTCCTGAATGTGCGTAGTACATCTCTGATTTCGGAACTTCCAACTGACGGTATGTACGTGTACTTAGTACATATGTGTATGTGTGTATATCTGTATATACATACACTTACAGATGTGTATGTATATATACTGTTATATTAGCTTGGCTTGACACGGAACCGCATGAGATGCTTGGCGAAGCTCTGGTCCTGGTCTTCGGCGAGAGCCGCCTCCTGCTGCTTGGCCCAGCCGCTCAGGGACTCCTGAACATCGGCGCCGGCCTGCTCGTACCTTTGTGGCACAGTGTATTACAGACTTCTGCAGACATCCTTCAGGCTCGGCCTTCGCGACGAAACAATTACGAAGCCAGCACGGGCAGGCTTCTTGGGGACCCTACAAACTAGTACACCACATGCACAGGAACCCATTTTCAAAGCACGATCTTCACTCCTAAGCATGTATCTACAAATCGGGCAAACAAAAGCATGAGCACTGGATACTTGCGTCCAAAATGCTCCTTGTTCCACTCGTCGAAGGCCTTCTCGGCCTCCTTCACGGTCTCGTAGACACCAAGGAGGTACTTGTTGCCGAAGGAGTCGATGGCCTCGGACTTGTAAAGCTTCTCCGCGGTACCCCAGCTGTGCTTGAACCTGACATGCGCCACTTGCAACGCAAACTCGGCCAAGCGCACGCTGCCCCAACCCGATCCCAGCCCGACCCTTCACTAAGCACGACATGCTGCAGAATACGCAGTCTACCAAGGCCGGCACTCGCCATCGAGTTTGGCAGGGATCTTGGCCAGGTCGGCCAGCATCTCCTCGTCCAAAGGCGGCAGCGGAGTGTCCGAAAACTTCGGCATCACCTTGAAGATCTCCTTGACGATGTCCGCCTCGCAGCAGACATGAACGACGAAAAGAGTCTACGGCAGAGGCACGCGCAGCTGCCTTCATACTGCACAAATCTGCTCTACAACTTAGAGAGCCTTCGTCTTGCCGGGCGCGTCCTTCTGGGAGCGGAAGAAGGCTTTCAGGTTCTGGACCTTCTTCTCGTTGGCCTCGCGGGCCTCATAGTAAGGCTTGATGACCTCGGCAGCGGTCTTCAGGAGCTCCTCCGGCGCCGTTCGGGTCTTGAACTCCTTGGTCTCGGCCTCGGAGTGGTTCGCGGCGAAGTCCTCGATCTCCTGCGTGACACAGCTTGCAGGTAGACATGCGAGCACGCATGCATGGACGACTATACTACTATACTTAGGCTTGCCACCGGGACAGCTGGCTAAGCCGAAGAAAGGAAAGCGGTGGAAAGCAAGCAGCGGGGTCCCTCTGCAAGGAGCCCATCTTCTTGGCCAAGCGCTCGTGCAGCACGCGAGGGAAGCGCACCTTGAAGTCGTCCGAGGGCGGGTTCTCTTTAAGAACCTTCTCGATATCTTTCTTCAGGCCGGCCGGGGCGCTGGAAGCGCTGTTGGCCTCGGCGAGGAACTTGTGGACGGTCTCTGCGGTCTCCTTGGAGAACTTGTACAAATCCTCGAAAGGGGCGCTGTCCGAGGGGGTCTTGCCCTCGGCCTCTTCCGCGCGAGCCGTCATCGATGCGTACATCCAGCGGCGGTCGGCGTCACGATCGATCTCCACGATGCGTCGCTTCAGGCCGAAGTCGTAGGAGACCAGCGCCGCCTTGTTCTTCAGCGCATCGTAGTCGGGCGTCCTCTGGTCGGCGTCCTGCGATTGCAGCTACCTAGCGGTAGTGGTGCAGGTGCCGAGCTGGAGATTGCGCTTAGGACGAACATGCTTCCTTACAACAGGATCCTTCTGGCTCCCTCACCCTAATACCGGAAACAGCCGCCCCGCTTCGCCCCCGTGCAGCCTTCTTGTAGTCATCCTTCTCCTCGGACATAAAAGTGCATGTTGGTGCAAGGACTCTAGTCGGGGCTCTTGTACAAACACACGACCTGAGCGAACTGCATGCAGGCCGAGCTGCGTTATCGAAGAACTTCTTGAGGACCTTGGCAAAGGACTGGATCTTCTCCTCGGGGAGGTCCTGGCTGAACTCGTCGCTCTTGCGGAACTTCTTGTCGAACTCGTTCTGGGCCTGCTTCAGGATCAGGGCCTGCTCATCCTTGCTCAAAGAATCCTTCCATGCATAGAAGTCATCCTTGAACCCTCGCATGGCAGTTCGGCTCTGGCGAGAAGATGTCGCTGGAGAAGTGCCCGTCAGGAAGGACGTCCTGAGCTACAGCTTGAATCTGGGCACCAGTAACCAAAAATTAGAAAGCTGCCAAGATGACCGCTTTGCGATTTAACGGTGTTGCCAGATGCTCTCCGTGCCAAGACTCTGCTGGGAACCGAAGAGCGAGATGAGGAGCCACGACGAGGCGGCCAGCAGCACCGTTGGCAAGAGCCGGGACTGCGTCATTCCTGGGCCGTGCAGATTGAATTCAATCACTGGAGCGCTGTTCTGAGTTTTACAGCGAGCTTTCAATGATTCGGGTCTGGCGCGGGTCCCCCTCAATCGCTTTCCAGGTGGCTGAACCACGAGACCGAATAAGTTCAGGGCAGGTCCTGCTGGGCACTTGGGCCAAAATCCTGCATCGCACAAGTGCAGCTGAGTCCCATCCGCCCTTGTTTCAAACGGCTAAGAGTATCCGTATCCCTCTGAAACGCACGGCAGCCGGGCATTCAAAACATCACACGCGCGGCCATTGCACAGCCCGAGAGAAAAGCTCTTCGGCATGCACTACACTCCAACCATACAGCGTCTCGTGCTCTTGAGACCTTAAGCAGCTTACGCTGAAATTAGTTTGACGAGAGAGGAAGAAGGCTTCGTGCAAAGTCTCGGCTCTTTTCGATTCGCACCCGGCACTTGCATCAAAAATCAGAAGCTGCTCTTGAGCGCTGCATGAGGGAAGAATTTCTGAGGCTGTGGGCCTTGCATAAGGTTGCAAAGAGCCTGGTGGCCTCAAGTGCTAGACTGCTAGACGTGGTCTGAAACCCAGCTGTGTCGATCTTCGAGACAGCATGGAGACAGTCTCACCAAACGGGCCCTAGCCCGCAGCACTTCACATCAAACTCCCTGCTGCCACAAGTAATTCTGCCACGACCCGCTGGTTTGGAGAATCCACTCCCTGACCAGTGCTTAACTTTCTGTTACAACTCCCTCGTCCAGGATAATAACATGCCAACTATAGTATACAAGTAAGAAACATGTAATCCGAGAACTTTTAGAGTGCCGGCCGTGCTTCGTGGCCGCTGTGGGAGTTATTTTTCTTCTCCGCTCTGCCTCAGCGACGCGCCTCCTCAAGAGCCTTGCGGAGACGGTCCACCTCGTCCTGGCAAAGGAAGGTCTCATCGCCTTCCAACCTGTAGCTACTGTACATGTCTCTTAAAAGCCTCATGCATCACCCAGATTACAAGTTCCATCTCTTATCATCTCTCAAAGGGTAGAAGCCTTTGGCCGGCGGGTCCATAACATGACGGTCTGCGGGCAACTCTTGTTTCGATCTGTAGCTTACGCGCGATGCACTTCATTCAGTTTAAGAATCCAAGAAAGCGTCCTGGTCTTCGGCGAGAGCCGCCTCCTGCTGCTTGGCCCAGCCACTGAGCGACTCCTGGACATCAGCGCCGGCTTGCTCGTACCTTTGATGCATTTCGGGCTTTGGGCTGCATAAATCTGCAAAGGTGGGGGACATGAAAGTGCGACGCCTCACCGCACTTCTGCCGCTGTAACCCCACCAGATCCGACTTAAAATGCTCAGCTCCAAGGTGCTCCTTGTTCCACTCGTCGAAGGCCTTCTCGGCCTCCTTCACGGTCTCGTAGACACCAAGGAGGTACTTGTTGCCGAAGGAGTCGATGGCCTCGGACTTGTAGAGCTTCTCCGCGGTACCCCAGCTGTGCTTGAACCTGACACGCGCCATTTGCAAAGCAAGCTCGGCCGAGGCACGCCGCCCCTGCCCAACCCTTCACTAGGCACGACATGCTGCAGAATACGCAGTCTACCAAGGCTGGCACTCGCCATCGAGTTTGGCAGGGATCTTGGCCAGGTCGGCCAGCATCTCCTCGTCCAAAGGCGGCAGCGGAGTGTCCGAAAACTTCGGCATCACCTTGAAGATCTCCTTGACGATGTCCGCCTCGCAGCAGACATGAACGACGAAAAGAGTCTACGGCAGAGGCACGCGCAGCTGCCTTCATACTGCACAAATCTGCTTTACAACTTAGAGAGCCTTCGTCTTGCCGGGCGCGTCCTTCTGGGAGCGGAAGAAGGCCTTGAGATTCTGGACCTTCTTCTCGTTGGCCTCGCGGGCCTCATAGTAAGGCTTGATGACCTCGGCAGCGGTCTTCAGGAGCTCCTCCGGCGCCGTTCGGGTCTTGAACTCCTTGGTCTCGGCCTCGGAGTGGTTCGCGGCGAAGTCCTCGATCTCCTGCGTGACACAGATTGCAAGCAGACATGCGAGCACGCATGGATGGACGACAAGAATTTGGCTTGCCACCCGTGCAGCTCGCTAAGCCGGAAAAAGGAAAGCGGTGGAAAGCAAGCAGGGGGGTCCCTCTGCAAGGAGCCCATCTTCTTGGCCAAGCGCTCGTGCAGAACGCGAGGGAAGCGCACCTTGAAGTCGTCCGCGGGCGGGTTCTCTTTAAGAACCTTCTCGATATCTTTCTTCAGGCCGGCCGGGGCGCTGGAAGCGCTGTTGGCCTCGGCGAGGAACTTGTGGACGGTCTCTGCGGTCTCCTTGGAGAACTTGTACAAATCCTCGAAAGGGGCGCTGTCCGAGGGGGTCTTGCCCTCGGCCTCTTCCGCGCGAGCCGTCATCGATGCGTACATCCAGCGGCGGTCGGCGTCACGATCGATCTCCACGATGCGTCGCTTCAGGCCGAAGTCGTAGGAGACCAGCGCCGCCTTGTTCTTCAGCGCATCGTAGTCGGGCGTCCTCTGGTCGGCGTCCTGCGATTGCAGCTACCTAGCGGTAGTGGTGCAGGTGCCGAGCTGGAGATTGCGCTTAGGACGAACATGCTTCCTTACAACAGGATCCTTCTGGCTCCCTCACCCTAATACCGGAAACAGCCGCCCCGCTTCGCCCCCGTGCAGCCTTCTTGTAGTCATCCTTCTCCTCGGACATAAAAGTGCATGTTGGTGCAAGGACTCTATTCGGGGCTCTTGTACAAACACACGACCTGAGCGAACTGCATGCAGGCCGAGCTGCGTTATCGAAGAACTTCTTGAGGACCTTGGCAAAGGACTGGATCTTCTCCTCAGGGAGGTCCTGGCTGAACTCGTCGCTCTTGCGGAACTTCTTGTCGAACTCGTTCTGGGCCTGCTTCAGGATCAGGGCCTGCTCATCCTTGCTCAAAGAATCCTTCCATGCGTAGAAGTCATCCTTGAAGCCTCGCATGGCAGTTCGGCTCTGGCGAGAAGATGTCGCTGGAGAAGTGCCCGTCAGGAAGGAGGTCCTTCACTTCTGCGAAATTAGCAGAGCACAAAGCTTTCCATACTCCCCTGAACTTCCGATTGGATTTACCGGTGTTGCCAGACGCTGTCTGTGTCTTGCCATGCCAAGGCTCTGCTGGGAACCGAAGAGCGAGATCAGAAGCCATGACGAGGCGGCCAGCAGCACCGTTGGCAACAGCCGGGACTGCGTCATTCCTGGGCTCTGCACACCATAGGAGGAGGATGTTTATGAGACATGGAACAGCTTCGCTGTCAAATTTTGGGCTCGCTCAGCCAAGCATCTGCTGCAAGGCTGCGCGACTGCAAGGAGCGGTACTATGAAGCTGCCGGGCACTTGGGCAACGCTTTCCTGATTTGACGGATGGTGATACGCCCAGAGAATCTCACAGCAAGCCTTGGCAGGGCAACCGAATGCACAAATGTTGATATTGTTTGGACTGCGGGGGCACTCCAAGGTTTAGGAATCTGCTTTTCTCAACGACATCTCTCGGCAAAAACCTGGATCTGCGCTCGAGCGCATGCATTTGTGAAGAACTGGCCGGGATTGCAAAAAACTTGCAAGACACCCGGCAGCCTCAAGTGCTAGTACGTGCAATGCACACGAATTGCGATTCTTCGCGGGACGAAGACATTCATGTGTGCTGCCCGTAGTATCGGTCTTCCAGACACTAGGGCTGATGCTTGCGAGGCGGCTAAGCTTGGCGGCTGTGCAAGGCTTTTTGCGCATGCCACCGTTTGCAAATCACTCACAACCAGGTTGACGCATGGCCCCAAGTTATGCCGAAGCCGCTTCGAAGGGGTGACTGGTGCCTCAACGGCGGGCTTCCTCGAGGGCCTTTCGGAGGCGGTCCACCTCGTCCTGGCACGAAAGAAAGCGCTTGCATGCATCTAACCAATATCGTCGGGACTCGAGTTCTTCACCGCGCAACGAACTTTCGCCAACTTGCTCACACATTGGGACCGTTAAAGAGCCATATAGAGTTTACACTCGAGACCACTCGTTTGACCAGTCCTGGTCTTCGGCGAGCGCCGCCTCCTGCTGCTTGGCCCAGCCACTGAGGGATTCCTGGACATCAGCGCCGGCTTGCTCGTACCTTTGATGCATTTCGGACTTTGGGCTGCATACCTCTGCAAAGGTGGAGGACATGAAAGTGTGACGCCTCACACGCCTCACCGCACTTCTGCCGCTGTACCCCCACCAGATCCGACTTAAAATGCTCAGCTCCAAGGTGCTCCTTGTTCCACTCGTCGAAGGCCTTCTCGGCCTCCTTCACGGTCTCGTAGACACCAAGGAGGTACTTGTTGCCGAAGGAGTCGATGGCCTCGGACTTGTAGAGCTTCTCCGCGGTACCCCAGCTGTGCTTGAACCTGACACGCGCCATTTGCAAAGCAAGCTCGGCCAAGGCCGCTGCCCCTACGCGACCCTTCACTAGGCACGACATGCTGCAGAATACGCAGTCTACCAAGGCTGGCACTCGCCATCGAGTTTGGCAGGGATCTTGGCCAGGTCGGCCAGCATCTCCTCGTCCAAAGGCGGCAGCGGAGTGTCCGAAAACTTCGGCATCACCTTGAAGATCTCCTTGACGATGTCCGCCTGACCGCAGACACGAGCGACGAAAAGAGTCTACAGCAGAGACACGCGCAGCTGCATTCATACTGCACAAATCTGCTCTACAACTTAGAGAGCCTTCGTCTTGCCGGGCGCGTCCTTCTGGGAGCGGAAGAAGGCTTTCAGGTTCTGGACCTTCTTCTCGTTGGCCTCGCGGGCCTCATAGTAAGGCTTGATGACCTCGGCAGCGGTCTTCAGGAGCTCCTCCGGCGCCGTTCGGGTCTTGAACTCCTTGGTCTCGGCCTCGGAGTGGTTCGCGGCGAAGTCCTCGATCTCCTGCGTGACACAGATTGCAAGCAGACATGCGAGCCCGCACGGATGGACAACGACAACATCTAGGCTTGCCACCGGGGCAGCCGGCTAAGCCGGAAAAAGGGAAGCAGTTGAAAGCCAGCAGAAGGGTCCCTCTGCAAGGAGCCCATCTTCTTGGCCAAGCGCTCGTGCAGAACGCGAGGGAAGCGCACCTTGAAGTCGTCCGAGGGCGGGTTCTCTTTAAGAACCTTCTCGATATCTTTCTTCAGGCCGGCCGGAGCGCTGGAAGCGCTGTTGGCCTCCGCGAGGAACTTGTGGACGGTCTCTGCGGTCTCCTTGGAGAACTTGTACAAATCCTCGAAAGGGGCGCTGTCCGAGGGGGTCTTGCCCTCGGCCTCTTCCGCCCGAGCTGTCATGGATGCGTACATCCAGCGGCGGTCGGCGTCACGATCGATCTCCACGATGCGTCGCTTCAGGCCGAAGTCGTAGGAGACCAGCGCCGCCTTGTTCTTCAGCGCATCGTAGTCGGGCGTCCTCTGGTCGGCGTCCTGCGATTGCAGCTACCTAGCGGTGTAGGTGCCACGCTGGAGATTGCGTTTAGGACGAACATGCTTCCTTACAATAGGAACCGCCCCGCTTTGCCCCTGTGCAGCCTTCTTGTAGTCATCCTTTTCCTCGGACATAAGAATCTCGAAAAGCCGGGAAACAAGTCGTGCATGTTGGTGCAAGGACTCTATTCGGGGCTCTTGTACAAACACGCGACCTGAGTGAACTGCATGCAGGCCGAGCTGCGTTATCGAAGAACTTCTTGAGGACCTTGGCAAAGGACTGGATCTTCTCCTCAGGGAGGTCCTGGCTGAACTCGTCGCTCTTGCGGAACTTCTTGTCGAACTCGTTCTGGGCCTGCTTCAGGATCAGGGCCTGCTCATCCTTGCTCAAAGAATCCTTCCATGCGTAGAAGTCATCCTTGAACCCTCGCATGGCAGTTCGGCTCTGGCGAGAAGATCCCGCTGGAGAAGTGCCCGTCAGGAAGGAGGTCCTTCACTTCTGCGAAATTGGCAGAGCACAAAGCTTTCCATACTCCCCTGAACTTCCGATTAAATTTACTGGTGTTGCCAGACGCTGTCTTTGTCTTGCCACGCCAAGGCTCTGCTGGGAACCGAAGAGCGAGATCAGAAGCCATGACGAGGCGGCCAGCAGCACCGTTGGCAACAGCCGGGACTGCGTCATTCCTGGGCTCTGCAGATTGAGCAAGCTGCAGCACTGCAGCTTCAGGGGTCTGTGATGCTTTGTGAAGCAAGGGCCTGGACCGCTTCGACAAAGGGCCTGGTCCAGTTGGGCGCTTGAGCCAAAAATCCTGGCCACAGACAGTTGGGATGATAAGCTCGGGTGATCGTCTGCACAGGGCTGCTCTATCTCAATGCTGCAAATACTACGTTAGATACGTTAGCGGAAGTCGCCATCAAGCATCAAGCCTGTACTTTGAAGTTAGCAAACAGATTTGCGATGACATATCTGTCATTCGTGGATCGCGACGTTTAAGACTTTATTGCAATCCTCCATGCGAGTAACTGTGGAGTAGGGCCCAGCACTCCTCATGTGTGCCGCCTCAGGACAACCTTTCATCGGCCAGGTGGGTGTTGCGGTGCGAGATGACCGACGTGATCGTCACGGCAAATTGCTACAACATCACCATAAATCTCGGTATCTTTGCTGTTGCTGAGCTGCTATTGTGATCATACCACCATCCACATGTACAACAGCCGTACCAACTGCATCAGCAGAACCAAGCCGCAATCATTGTCGCAACGACTGATTATTCAGCATCACATCACCTGTCTTTCCGCAGGTCATGATGAACTCCCTGTCCCTCCCCTCCCTCTCTCCTCTCTCCCTATCGAACGCATCGTTCACAATCACTAGTCAGCGTCGCCATCATCGCCATCATCATCATCATCATCATCCCTCTCTCTGTATCTCTCCCTCCCCCCCTTCTCTCCCTATCGAACGCATCGTTCACAATCACTATCATCATCGTCATTGTCAGCGTGGCCATCATCGCCATCATCATCGTACTCATCATGCCTCTCGCTGTCTCTCTCCCTCCCCCCCCCGTCTCCGTCTGTTCTTTCTTGTTTTCTTTCTTTCTGGTGGGGGCTCTCTCTCTCTCTCTCTCTCCGAGTTTCTTGCTGTCCTCGCAATCCTTTTTTCTACAACGGCCCATGGTCAAAAATAATTAACTGCGCTCGCGCGCGTGAATCTGTGAAGAACCTGCCAAGCATCCATTGCAATTGACTGCAGACAGCTCGGCAATCCAAATTTGCTGAGAGGTGTGGTGTCTATGTACCGTCGCACAAATTGTGGGACACTAGTGTGTGCAGAAGGTTTGCCTGTTGCCTCGGTCTTCGAGACAACAAGGCGTCTCCAAAGGGGAGGTGGTTCACAAGTGCATATTCAGGTCCTGTTGTGTCTGCCTTTCACTTCTTAGTCTAAGAGTAACTGGTACTTAACACAACTTTGAAAGCGCCTCCCGCTATCCGGTCCCCAAACTAATCCTCTTGCACCCTGCGCGACTGCTGGTCGCCTGGGAGATGAGATCTGTATAGTCTGTATAGCGTATCATTCTCAAAGGATACTCCATTCATTGTCATTTCACTGCAGGAAGCATCATCCGTGACCCACTTTGGAAACGATTTGAGCCCCAAGGCCTTCTTCTGGGCTCGCGCATGCTCGCGCCTCAGCGGCGTGCCTCCTCAAGTGCCTTGCGCAGGCGGTCCACTTCGTCCTGGCCACCACTGAAACTTCGGGACCGGCACTAAGGGCTCATCTCTGAACATTTTGATTCGTCTTTCATAGCTGTGCGTTCTACAGAGAACTGCCGCCTCGGTATGGGGAACCTTGCCTTCGACTTTGTCCACCCCGCCCGTGCCCAGGGTCCTGGTCTTCGGCGAGCGCGGCCTCCTGCTGCTTGGCCCAGCCGCTCAGGGACTCCTGGACATCCGCGCCGGCCTGCTCGTGCCTTCGTCGTGGCTTCTCTCGGCAGGGCGTGCCAAGGTTTCGCATGTACCATATCTGCGTATCCGAGACCTGCACTAGCTCCTTGTCTCGTCCGCTCATGTTGGCAGAAGGTCTCGATCTAGTTTGAACTCAGATAGAACTACATCTTCTTGAACTTTATGATAAGATTCATCTGGCTTTGAACGCTGCCGTTATCCCGTTCTTCTATAGAGCAAGCTCCGACCACAAACTGACGACCACCTGCGTAGGCAGTTGTCGTGTACGGTCGTAATGTGCACATAAACGTAATCAAGATGTTTATTCTACACTGCACACAATTTATGCTTGAACACTGTCCGAATATGTCAAAATCCAGAAACGAAGGATACTTGCGTCCAAGGTGCTCCTTGTTCCACTCGTCGAAGGCCTTCTCGGCCTCCTTCACGGTCTCGTAGACACCATGGAGGTACTTGTTGCCGAAGGAGTCGATGGCCTCGGACTTGTAGAGCTTCTCCGCGGTACCCCAGCTGTGCTTGAACCTGACATGCGCCATTTGTAAAGCAAACTCGGCCAAGCGCACGCTGCCCCAGCCCGACCCTTCACTAGGCACGACATGCTGCAGAATACGCAGTCTACCAAGGCTGGCACTCGCCATCGAGTTTGGCAGGGATCTTGGCCAGGTCGGCCAGCATCTCCTCGTCCAAAGGCGGCAGCGGAGTGTCCGAACACTTCGGCATCACCTTGAAGATCTCCTTGACGATGTCCGCCTGACCGCAGACACGAGCGACGAAAAGCGTCTACAGCAGAGGCACGCGCAACTGCCTTCATACTGCACAAATCTGCTCTACAACTTAGAGAGCCTTCGTCTTGCCGGGCGCGTCCTTCTGGGAGCGGAAGAATGCCTTCAGGTTCTGGACCTTCTTCTCGTTGGCCTCGCGGGCCTCATAGTAAGGCTTGATGACCTCGGCAGCGGTCTTCAGGAGCTCCTCCGGCGCCGTTCG